CGCGTCCCGCCTGCCAATTCTTGGAATACGGAGGAAATAATAACGAAAAAAAATGATTCAGTTCAACTCACTGGCCGCGGAGAAGGCTTTTACCAGAGTGGGTTTCAATGCCCTGAATGTTTTGAAAGAATCTGCTCTTCCCCATTACCCGATGCTCCTAATAGCCTTGAATCTGTAATTAGAGGGCATTGCATTTTTTAATGGAACTGTATGTTTTGCGTAGATCCTAAGGCAAGCTACAAATGAAGGCATATAAAGCCCATCATCAAACAGGCTTAAATCGTGTTTTTAAGTTAAAGGGTAAAAAATTTGAGTAACTTGCTGATCACTGCTTGCATAAATTCATATAAAAGCTGCGCTCCTGATTAGAAAATACGCCATAAAAACGCATCTCCTGAGTCAAACCCTTCAAACAGTTATCAGGGAACCACCTTTCTTTAGCCATATAGAAAAAGTGCTAACGCACCACGCTCAAATGGGTTATTTAAGTCAAGGTGGGGTTTGTTTTTTCTTTTTTTCCCATGCAGTTTTACAGAATTCGAAGTGATTACTGAAATAATCAGCACCAGCGACATCGCTGAAGCGTCATATTTCATACTACACACCCCGGAACGGTTGGGGATTTTTCACTTCACCTTTCCAATCCCCAGGAAGCCCTGCTGGGATCTGAGCTTCGCTAACCCCTCTGGATTACCACGGGGAACACCCTCACCCTTGTGCCTGCCCGAATTTGGGCACTTTTCTCCCCTGCAGACTAAATCCTACGTCCCACACACGGGACTGGCTGCGAACAGTGCTGTCCCGGCAGGGTTAGGCCTCAGCAAACGGATCATGAGGAGGGGGAGAGCAGCACGGCCATAAGCAGGGCCATAAGCAATGCCATAAGCAATGCCATAAGCATGCCCATAAGCATGGCCATAAGCATGGCCATAAGCATGGCCATAAGCATGGCCATAAGCACGGCCATAAGCATGCCCTTAAGCACAGCCATAAGCACGGCCATAAGCATGGCCATAAGCACAGCCATAAGCATGCCCATAAGCACGGCCACAAGCACGGCCACAAGCACGGCCACAAGCATGCCCATAAGCACGGCGATAAGCAGGCCCATA